CTCAACCTAAACCTTGAACCGCAAGGCTTTGGTGCAATCTGGTCCACCTTAAGTGCAAAGCGGGGTGTGCATTCTACATCTATATATATATATATGTGTGTGTGTGTCTGTATGTATGTATGTCTGTCTGTCTGTATGTATGTATGCATCTATGTATGTATGCATGTATGTCTGTATGTATGGTGATATTTTTCATTCTATGTATTTGTTTTCTATGGATCAACCCCCTTTTTCTCTCTGCTAGCTATACGAAAACCCTAAGCAATCCACATATGCCCATTCCCCGATATCCGTCGAAGACCCATGCCCAGGGGCCAGGTCAAAGAACCTCCCCGGCCGCTGGGGGGAGGCCAGAGGCACCGCGCTGGCGTCACTGGTGAGGATGCCTTTGGTTTGGAGAGGTTTGGGCCTCCTAGGGCTTAGGGCTTATCCTTTTGGGGCTTTTTGGGGATTGAAGGGTTTCAATGGGTTTCAGAGGGTTTAAGGCGTTTGGCCAGGTGGAGATGTTGGGTGGGGGGGCGGCCATGGCATCTGCTCTGCTTGGGAGAGATAGGCTTATTGGGCTTAAAGGGTTGATAGGGTTGATAGGGTTGATAGGGTTGATAGGGTTTGCAGCATGTTCCCGTGTCTTGCTGGGGCCTCCCTGAACCATCTTCATTTCGGGCTTAGGGTTTCGGATTTGCGATTTAGGGTTGCCGTGCAGGGTTTCGCATCGAGGGCGGAGGCGTGTGTTGAGAACTCAGAAAGAAGTCGCTCACCACTCGGGCCAAGTGAGGCACAGTATACGTTTCTGCTGAAGCATCTGGGGTCCAGGTCTTGTGGAACGGAGAAGATCCCCTAAATGCCAGGGACTCGCAGGACAAACTTGCGCAATGCCCTTGACGCAGAGGTGCCTGCGTCTCTGACGAACTTCTGGAGAATGGTGACCTGGCCGATCCAAAGCCCACCCACGGCATCTTTACAACGTCAAGGTAGGGCCCAGGATCTCCCAGTGGGCTTTGCCCCAAGATTCCCGACCTTGGACTTGGACCGTCAATACCCAGAAGCGCCCCCAAGTGCACCTCCGTGTCGCGTGATACTGACACTGGCTCCAGCTTCAGCTTGCGAGAGTCGCAGAAATCCGCGAGACCGTCGCGATCGATGATGCTGTGAACGCCTGGTGGGGATCCCGTAACCCTCAACCTAACCGACTCCCTGTGTTGGGGCCATCCCAGGACAGGTGCCTTGGTCCTCCCCGACAATGCCTTCCTGTCTAACTTGGTTGCTCTACCGGACTCTACCCCGCCTTCGTTTTCTTTAACTCTTGGAATTTGGAGCCTCAAATGACGCAAGACACATCACCGATCCTGTATCTGGCTCTGCGGCACAGGTCAGGTTGCCCGACGTGCTTTGACTGGGACTCACGTGCACTCAAGCGCTTGGAGGTTTCTCTACAGAATCCTTCTTGGGGGCAAATGCGTCCTAGTAGAATCCTGGAGAGTACCTGTTCGAGCTATCCTGGAAAGCAAGCGACCTTCCTGACAACTAAAGTAGCTACCATCGAGCCCTGTTGAAACGAAATGCGCATAAAGTTGGGGGAACTATGCTGTGCGTGCATTTGGATTTTGAGGTCTACAGTACTGAGTTAAGGCAGGCCGTTACCTGAACCCCCACTTCAGTGTGTACTTGTGAAAAAAGCGAAAGCTACGACGCTTATGCGATCGCACCCCCGCCCGAGATACCTTCGGTGTACAGGGCGTGCTTGGCTTTGACAAAGCACTCCGCATCTCGCCACTTTGGCCCAGAACCCAGGTCGTTTGCAATGGGGCCGAGGAAGTGGTAGCAGTGCTTTCCAGCCCAACCGGCTTTGTAGTATTCACCTTGGCCAGTACAAGTACAGCGTCTTTAAGCCTGCGGCATACCCTCAACTTCGGCCTTTCAAGATCCGGACAGCCTCCAGAATCCCCCACATGGAAATCCCACGAGCACGGAACAGCAAAACTCATGCAGACGGGCGGCTGGCGGAGCACGCTTCGTTCTCCATGCATGCCTTCCTGCAGTCGGGCAGAGTAAGGGCCCAGGGCTTAGTTTAGGAATCGGTGCCACTTATAGGAGTTGCAAACGGCCTCAGAATCCGATTCTGTTCAGGATGGCGTTTGAAATTCTTCTAATTGTGAAAAAGTAGCTCCTCGAAACTTATCCGGAAACTTTCCCCGTATTTGAACCCTCAAGAACTTCATCAACCTCTAAACCCAAAACCCGATTATCTCACTGCTACAGCTCAAACTCGCTGCCGTAGCAGAGCTGTATCTTGTCTCGGCCAGCTAAACGCTGCTCCTAGATCCCTAACTCGCCTACGTCTGAATGTGCGTTTGCGTTTGGGGAGTTCTCCAAGTTATGGGCCCGTGCCTCGTAGATAAGACTCCGCATGATGATGGGATCTCTCTAAATGGACCATGATGTAGAGGACTCGCCTAAACTTGCTTTCCTTAGACCCTCAGGTCACCCTCCTGCACAAGCTGAGGTCAGCAACGCCGTCGATGGGGACACCTGAGATGGCCAGCGGATCTCGGCATCAAAAGGTGCGTCAGTTTCAACATTGGGTAGTTTTATTAGGAAATCTCAACCCTATACCAAAAAACTAGAGAAGAATGAACCTCCCACTCAGAGATCTGGAAACGCTTCATCCTCGAGGGTTCCTGGCCAGCACAGCTCGTCATGCTGGCAACGAAGCCTTAGCAAAAGTCTTGCGGGCTTTCGAGACCATTCAGACGCTCCTGGGGGGCTAGTAGAGTCTATAGGGCTTGGAGAGCCTATAGAGCTTGTTGCAGGGCTTGTAGGGTTTATAGGGTTTAGGGTTTAGGGTGGGTCAATCAGTTCAATGTCCGCCGAGCAGCTCGTCGACGTTCTGATGCGGCAGTCATTGCTGCAACCGCCAAACTCACGATCTGTGCCTGAGCCAAGGGATGAATGGCGACTGTGATCGCTTTCGTCAAAGGTGGCATTGTTCGCAGTAAGCTTCACATGTGGAGGAAAAGCGTGATTGCATTTTCACCCTAAGCCCCGGAGAAACTAAAACAACCAAAAAGCAGACCCTTTTCCGGACTGTGCAAGCCGGGGAGCTTCCATGATCAGGGTGCCCATGTGTTATACCCTCAATTCGGTAGACGCGCCCTTACCAAGACCACCAAACCCTGAACCCTAAACCCTGAGCCCTAAACCCTGAGCCCTAAACCCTAAACCCTAAACCCTAAACCCAGAACCCTAAACCCTAAACCCTAAGCCCACAACCAATGCACCAGGCCACCGTCATCGCAAAACTCGTCGCCCTGCGCCAAGCCGTCGCCGCAGACCGGCTCACAACTCTGAAGGCCACAGGACCAGCCTTCCAGGATTTTAGGGTTTAGGGTTCAGGGTGGTTTAGGGTTTAGGGTTTAGGGTTTAGGGTTTAGGGTTTAGGGTTTAGGGTTTAGGGTTTAAGGTTTAGGGTTTAGGGTTTAGGGTTTAGGGTTTAGGTGGTTTGGGGGTCCAAGGGGTAGTAGCAAACAAATTTTGGGGACATTCTGAGTGGTCTCCTTCACTTCGCGCTCAAGGATTGCGAGTTGTGTTTTACTTGTATTGTGTGAAGATAACGTGGGAACTTAGGTCACTAAAGTCTCCATGTCATCGGCCCCTTTGGTGTCTCAAGCCTGGCGCTCAGTAGAAGGGCCGGGTGCGGAGCAGAGACACTGAATCCAACCCTAAAGCTTCGCAGCTTGGCTTCTGGTAAGCAGCTTCGTGATTACGCATGTCATTATGCGGGTTATATCTTCTGCATGGCCATTTCCAGGTTTGCAAGCGCGGTGCCAGAACAGCAATAACGCTGACGAGCTGCGATACATTGCGTGATGCAGGCCGTGCACGCTGCAGACATTTCTTTCTACACACACACACCATGCTTACTTGCCGGCCGCGCCCTTTGGTTTAAAAGGGGCTGAAAAGGGATCCAAACCTTCAAAGAAGACGTGAACAGGGGTTCTACTGGGCATTTCAGTAAGCACGAAACCCATAAATCCCAATAGTGACCGCGGGACCAGCCTGGGAGCACTTGGCAGCTGGAGTTGCAGCCTGCAAGTTGGCGGTCCCTTTTTGGATCGCTAGTATAATGCGGCACCTAATGTTTAGGGTACCCCAAAAGGGATCATGATTTTGACAACCACCCATGTGAGGTTTAGGATTAAGGGTTAAGGTGCTTGCGTGTTGCTCGCACGGGGTCCCGTGCAACACTGCTTTCAGACATTTCATTACAAGAGCGATCGTGGAATGTAGTAGCACACCCCCAGTGCAAAGACTAAGCAACGATTTCAACATGGTCTTGGGATGTTTAGGGTTGTTGTAGCTTGGAAAACAGCGGGCCGTCAGATGGGACTCTGTCTGGTTGCTCTGGCTTACAGCAGTAAACGTGTGTTTAGGACTTGCTCGATTTGCCATTCAGGCTGGGAAGGGAAGAGTCCTGAAAGACGTTGGCCCCATGACTTGACATGGCCGCACGTGCTTGTGCAAGCGTGCGCAGAATGCCGCTTGGCTGCGCTCAGGAGGGTAGCTATAAATTAAATTTTTAGCTGCCATATTAAGAAACCCAAGAAACCCAAAAAGGCTAAGGATCTAAAGTTACAGTAAAGAACCACAAAGGCCGCTTTGGCTCATGAATTTGGCACGGCGCCTGCAATGTGTCATTTTGTGCGGGCATGAGCTGTCAACCGTTAACTGTTAACAGCCATAGCGTGTCAGGAAAACAATGTGTGCTCTCACAATGCCTCTAAGCAATCAGACACGTTTTGGTTGTAGAACATTTTGAGACCTTGTGCGCAGTAGTAATCCTCCAGCAAGAACCTAGACAATGTACAAGGCTGCTGGAACGAACATCCCAGAAAAGGGTTCGCCGCTGCCGCATTGTTGTTGCCAAAAGGGCTTGGCTCGGGAGCTAGCGTGCATTGCGTGGTCAACCGGATGGGCTTTGGGCTCCCGTTCGTTAATTAGCATCACGGCTTGGGGACGATGTCTGAGCACTTCCCGCGACATCCTAGGTAACGGCGCCCCCTTAGCTGCTTGGGAACACTTGCAATACCCGCTATACCCAGAACCACGCAGAGCCATAAGCCCGAATGGCGCGACAAGCCCTCGGTCTTTGATCGCTCCCCGAAGCCTGGCGAGTCCAGATCACACTCCTCCAAGCCCGCCACCTGCAATGAGTTTAGGGAATTTAGGGTTTAGGGTTTAGGGTTAGGGTTTAGGGTTTGGGGTGTTAGGCTTTAGGGCTGAGGGTTTAGGAGATTTAGGAAGATGATCCGGGCTGATTCGGGCTGCAGGGCTAACAGCTCATGGGCCTGGGTGAAGTGCTTTCGCCTGCAAAGCCAAGCTTCACAAGCAAACAAACGTTTCGAAGCTTCGGCATGTCGTTTCCCATCAGTCATGATACTGCAGATCCTACAAACTCCCCAATTTTTAGGGTTCAAGGGTTAAGCTGCTGCAAAATTCGGTCGTCGGCTTAGCACTCAAGACCGCCCAGAGCAGTCTGGGAACTGGAGTAGCCGCCTTGCCCTGATCCACTTGGAGCAAGGCTTCGAAGCCGTAAGGTTCAGGGTTTTGGGTGCGAAGATAAAGTTGTAGGCATCCTATAGCCCCCTCACACCTAAAGAGACTATACCCTCTCTCGGAAAAATGTTCCCCCTACATGACCCGCTTGAACCCAATAGGGGACAACAAATCCCAAGGACTTACCTAGTATGTCGAGGAGCAAATTCCGTACCCCATTTTACACCTTAAGCCCCGAGCGTTGTAAAAGCTTCCCGAGCACACTGAACCCTAAAACTCCACCTTGTCATCCCCGCAGGTGGGCTCCTGGCCGGAGCCGCAGTTGAGCATCTTGGAATGGTCGGGCACCTGAGATCACACTTCTGACAAATGAACCCCAAGCCCGCGGTTAGCGGATAAAAGACGCGTCCTCTTGACTTCGAGCCTTGGAGGACTTCCGGGTGGGCGGGTTTGTCAGTATCTCCAAAGCTTCATCGTGGGGGTTGTAAAGTTAGTTTGTAAAGGCCTTTGGGGAGCCCACCTTGTAGACAGCGAAGGTATCTCCGACTTCCGTAGCAGGGGCCTCATTGCCCCCGTTGCTGCTGGCGAGGAAAGAGGCAGTAAGGTCGGTCTCGCTGTCTGCCTCCAGGAGAACTTGCCACAGCTTGCACTCATCGTCGGAACCAGCACAGTAGAAACCGAACTTCACCTTAGAGTCTGAACGTGCAGAATGTTCTCGCGGCGCCTTTAGAACTACAAGAAGCCAGCATGTTTAAGACATTTCCCAAACAAGCCCGTCACCCCGGACTGCACGCGACGGGCGATGAACTTGAGGCTCGAAAGCTGCTGCGAAAGCTGGGAAGTCTTGTGGTCGCCCTGCAGCGCTAAAGCACCAGCAAGCGACGTGGCCTGCGCAAGAACGACCTGTGATCACCGAAAGGTTGCACGCCACATTTTTTCATTTGTGTATGTATAAGCCTTGAGCAAGGTGTGGTCCAGGAGTTACAACAGTCAGTCTCTCAAAACACTGCATGAAAGTTGCCGGGATGCTTCATGTCTCACCTTTAACGTCCCATTCCGCGTCACTGTCAGGATGTACCCGCGAACACCACCACAGCTGCTTGCGAACTCTTGGGCTGTGGGTGTCTTTCCCGAGTCACCAACTCGCCACGCAAAGCACGGCATGATGGAGACGGCTTTAGTGACATCGGTGTCCGCGGGGCCGTCCTCGCCGCAGTCGCAGCAGCGATCCCGATCTGAATCTTCGCAGGTTGGGCCCAGACATGATATGGCCTCCTTCCTTAATTGTTCTTGAAAACCCGTTACAAGTCATTGAAGTTTGCGCGGAACCAGCTAAAGTAAGATTACTAAAGCTAAGCAAAGCAGGTGAATGGCCTGGCTTCCACGTGCGGCGGGTGCAATCCTTGGGGCATTCCAGGCTGGCGCAGGATGCCAAACCAGCAAGTGCTGGAACGGCTGCCCTCACCGACCCGAACGGCTTGTGGTTCATGGGTCCTCCTAAGTTGAAGTACACCTTCTGGGGCGGCATACGGCCCCGGCTGCCGCTGGGCAACCGGAAGGTTTCTGGTATGACCTTGCGGCTGCAGACGGTCTCCACCTTGCAACTGCCAGAGCAACCATCCCCACTGTTCTTGTTGCCGTCATCGCACTGCTCCTTGCCTGCAAGGATTCCATCACCACAAGTAGTGTCACATGGCTTCCCCGGCGTCGCGCACGTGAAACCTGCATCCGTGCTTCGACAGTTGGCAGCACAGCCGTCGGCACCGATGGAGTTTCCATCATCGCAGGCCTCCCAGGCCTCAACAATGCCGTTCCCACAGGAGTTGCCGACGACTTGCTTGTGGAGGGCTTCAGTCCAATGCTGCAGCTCGGGGAGGTGAATTGGCACACGCCCTGGAGAGTAAAGGTCTAGTGTCACTGCAGAGCCTTTTGTACATACGTTGCCCCGGTGGTGGCACTGAGCACTTGCCACGCCCTCCGAGTTGATGGACGCTGCACAGAAGCAGACGGCCACATCCGGAAGCTGGCTCGCTGCCGCATCGCTGGGCCGAATGGCCTTGTAGCCCTGGCTGGAAGAATCCAGCTTGCAGGTGAAGACGCGGCTGGGCAGCTGGGAGTCCACTCCGACCAAGGATGCAGGGATGGGCTTTCGCACATCGATCCTTGCTGCTCAGGTGGCTTCAAAGAAACACTTCCGCAAGTCCTCTGCCCCTGTGAGTATCACACACGCAAGCACCTCCCAATCATGGAAGGCACTTGGCAAATTCGGACAAGCATCTCCCAGCCAGAGTGCAGCCCTTCCTGCAAGGTCTTCAGGCTTTCTCGTGGCACCGCTCATGCAGGATTTAAGATCTATTTTGCAGTAGCCCTACACCGTCGTGATGCATCTTAACACGGCAGCCGGCCCGGAACTCCCTCCGTGCCACACAACCCTCCTTGCGAAGCCGTAAACTCCAAACTGCCACACATTTGGAGGTTCATGGACAGTAAAAAGTAGGGTTATACGTCCCCAAATAAGGTTCCAACTACAATTGCCATACTTTTAACCTACGTATAGCTGCCCATAACATCCAAGCACGTCCCGTCCAGGCATCCTTTGCTGTGTTCATCCGTGATCCACAAACGAAAACCCGCTGACACACGTCGCCCAGCCAGCCCATCCCATTCCCACATGGGATCACCATTCCGCATGATCCCAAACCCTATGAACCCTAAACACCCCTAAACCCCAAACCACCCCCCCACCACGGGGAGGGGAAGAGGGGGGAATCATGGGGGGTGCGGGCGGACGTCCTGTGCAGAAAGACCCAGTCGCGCAATGTCGCACATCAGAAGCCTAAATACACCGCCTGTTGCTGAGCGGGCTCATGCAGGGTCTATACTCGCGTTAAAAGCCTCTGCGAGGGCTTCGTTATCCTAAAGCCCAAGGCCGCGAACCCGACACAGTCCCCAACGGCAGCCCCCCACGCTAAACGTATGAATCGCCCGCAATCGCAGCATCGCAGGCCCATGCGAACTCCATGCCACCCCGGCAAGCCAGCGGCCCGCACTTCCACGCATGCCCCCGAAACATCGCAAGGCAAAGGCCCGGCCTTCATGAGCAAGGCCTCTGGCTGCTGCACAACCACGATGTACTTCGCCCCATGCACCTGCGAGCGACTGCATCGTCCGAATTCACTGGGCATTGTCATCCAACCCTTCTCCGTGCCTTCAGCAACAAGGTTCAGAGCCCGGCCCGCGCTGGTACGTGGGGTTGCGTTTTTAGAAGTGAAGTGGCATTCCCTTCATGAAACTAGACCTAGCTTCCGGACAACACATCACTTGTAGAAGCCGAAGGTCAAGTCGCTTTACTATTTGCTTAAGAACCCCGCAAAGAAAAAAAACAATCTTCCTTTTCAGGGCAATATAAGGATTATTTTTTGGGGGGGCTCTTGAGCAAATAGTTTACAACACTTGGTTGCGAGACCAAGCTCAGGCGTCATGACTGACACTTGGGTGTTGCCACGGACGGTGGGCTGCAACAAAGTCTCATCCTCGCGTTTTCCTCTGCGATCCTCTGCGTAATGCGCACAGCCTTTAATCCCACTTATAAATAATCCTCCAACCCTCACCCCTCAAAACCCCCTAAGCACTGCAGTGTGCCGGCGTACTCCAACAAAATGTGATCACTTCAAAACCAACCATTCCAAGAACACGCCGATAGCACCCCAAGAGCATGCAGAATGCCAAGACTTCTCTGAGGGCACTGAAGTTGGAGTTGACCCCAAAACGATTTTGGGTTTTGGGTTATGTTAGGGCCCACAGGAAACACCGAGAGGTTCATCGACTTCTAGGGCCCCTTGCAGCACATACATGTGCGCCACAGGGTGACGTCATCAGCATAAACTTCTTTGCTCTGAACTCTAAATCCCCCTCCCTAAACCCCCCCACAACCCCCCGCCCCGCCTAAACCCCCCAAACCACCCCCTAAACCCCCCAAGCCCTGAACCCAATGCCCAACTCGGGCACAATGGCGCCTGGAAGGAGTCCCAGGCGGCCAGGGAGCCTGTTGGCACCCCCGGGACTGTCTGCAGGATTGCGGAGACGCAGCCTGAGTGGGGTAAAGGGCTTGCAGGTTTATAGAGGGTTTGTAGGTTTAGGGTTGAGGGTTTAGGGCTAGTGTGCACAGACGGAGCCGAACGATCTGCTTCATGCTTCTTTGAGGCTGGAATGGGGTTGAGGTCGGACAACCGGCTTAGGGTTAGATCAAAGCTGGGGTGTTGAGCGCTCCGTAGGGGGTTTGGAGTCCGGGGCAAGGGGTCCTATTTAGTGAGAATGGATATGTAGAATGGATATGTAGGACAGACCACACTGCAATTCATTCTGTACCCGTTCTAAAAAACTGGAATATGTTTTGCAATTGCTTCGGCTGCAGTATGACTCTTCAAGCCTAAACTCTCGTTGGGTTTTGGCGAGGCTCCTAGCCCTGAAACCCTAAACCCTAAACCCTAAACCCTAAACCCTACATCCTACCCTAAACCCTAAATCCAAAATGCCCCTACATCCGTCGGGTGGCTTGTTGCAACTGGACAGAGCTCTGGCAGGGCACGGCCCAGCACCTTGTGGTACAGCAAGAGCAGCTCCTCTGCAGAGCTCGGTGTACCCCACATACGCTACACCTCTTCAATAAGGAACATGCAAATTTGGGGTTTAGGGTTTAGGGTTTCGGGTTTAGGGTTTAGGGATCTAAGTAAATGATGTCAGGGATGTTCCTTGGCGGGATGAGGAATTTCTGGGAACGTCGTGCTGTTGGGCACCGCAGGGAATACATGACATACACAGAGGCACGAGCTGCATCTCAACCACGGAGCTCCATCTAAACCTGTGCCTGCACCAGGGCCACACACTACAAGCCAATCTTTAGCAACCCTAAACCCTCGACATTCTATGTTACATGTGTGTGTATTTGTAGAATATGACACATTGTGTATATACATATATATATATATATAGAAGAAGAGAAAAAGACAAAGAGAGAGAGGGAGAGGGACAGGGACAAAGAGTTCGCACCTGAGCGTTTCAGAGGCCATAGCGCTGCAATCTGCAAGATTTAGGGCGTCGTGCGAACTGCTCTCCTGGGACTCATCCACGGATGGAAGCTCAAAGATGCGAACGGCCTGCATAGGATGGATGGATGGATGCATATATATATATATATGTACATATATATATATATATATTGCCAGCCGTCACACTTGTAAACACCCTCGGTTTGGGGTTTAGAGGCTGTTTCTTTGGCTTTGAGGCTATCAGGCTGACCTTTCTGCCTACTGTACTCACTGGAACACTGGGACACCGGGTCTGCACCTCGGCCATGTCTGCAACAATCTTCCTGTTCGCATCCGCAATCATCTCAGCAGTCTTCTCGCCAAGATCAGCACCTTGCGCACAAGTTCGGGGAGTCTCAAAGCCTTCATTATTAGCAAATTTAGGAGGGTTTAGGAGAAAGCCTAGGCATCAAGCCCCGCAGGGCCTTGTCTCTTGCACAGAAGGCGTGTCCATTTCATCCACTCTCTTGTTTGAACCAGCTGCTCAGACAAGGCCACAAGCATGCTGCCGACAGCATCCCGAATGAGCTTCCCCACGTGCTCGATGCCGCTCGGAGAGAGGTACTTGCGGCAGCCTTGCCCTGCCGTGAAGTTCCTCTTTATGTCCTTTGGCTTGATGGCACGAACTGCCATCTCCACAGACCGACGGAGAATGCGCCCCTTCGACAAGATCGTCGAGAGCATTACAAAGGCGTCCCGGACCTGCGTGTGTAGCTGCAGGAACTGGCCAGGCTCCATGAGCGCCTGAGTTGCATTGGCCTTTGCTTGCTCAGCAACCACCTCTGGCCAGGAGGCCTCGCAGGCCGTGTATCGAGCCATCACCTTGCCGACCCTTAGCTGTGCTGTCTCCGCACTCTTGGCCAAGTCGAAAGCCGTGCTGAAGGCTGACTTCACGTGCAGCATGGCCTGCAGCTCAATTCTTTAACGACGCGAAACGGCCCCCAAAAACCCTCAACCCTAAAGCGTGAACCCCAAAAGCTCAAAAACCCGAAGACCCAAACATCCTCCGTCAGGTGCAGCTCGAAGTGCTCCAGCTGGTGCTCCTGTTGCTTCGAGATTCTCAAAGCCGTATCCCTACAAGCCCTATGAACCCTGTGCACGCTATACAAGCCAACCCTAAACCCTAACCCTGAATCCTAGACCCTGAACTCGAAAGCCTAAACCCTGAACCCTAAACCCTTAAACCGAGAGACCCGATGAAACCCCTCCGAACCCTAAACCCTAAACCCTAAACCCTAAACCCTAAACCCTATGAACCCTACAAACCCCAACGAAGCTGCGCTCGAGCTCCTCGGCGAGCTCCAGAGAGCCCTCCACCGCAGCCTGGTGACCGCGCGGGTTGTTGGGAGGTTTAGGATTTGGGGTTTAGGGTTTAGGGCTTAGGGTTTTCGCTGCGAGCGCGCTTCGACCCCCTCCATGAAGTGGTTGGGGGTCGGCGCATGAGCTGCAATGCCCACCCTCCCACCCAAAACACAAACCTTGGACGGGTTTAGGGTTGTCTGCCCCCCTACCCCCCTATCAAGGGGGATATACGGTTTGGTGGAGCAGAAGCAGTCTCTTCGCAACCGTGACAAAACCATGAAATCATGAGAAGATATTTGGCTCCAGAAAGAGCTCGATTCCACCCCGTGGTCCCTCGAAGACTCTTCAAGCCCTTTCAGGATTGGCGGCGGCAAAAGTGGCAGGCTCGACTCGATTCCACTCCGTGGTCCCTCGAAGACTTTCAAGCCTTTTCAGGATTGGCGAAGCAGGCAGGCTCGACTCGATTCCACTCCGTGGTCTTAGCAAACTTTCAAAGCGTGTTAAATGCCTCCAAACCCTTACTTTGAGCCTCCGGGCCAGTTCCCAAACCCTTCTTGGCCTCTTGCTTCTAGGTTCCCAAACCCTTAATTTAAGCCTCCGGGCCTTAATTTAAGCCTCCGGGCCTTTATGTTAAAGTCACAAACCCTTAATTTAAGCCTCCGGGCCATAATTTTAGGCTCCCCAACCCTTGATGGAAGCCTCCGGGTCTTAATTTGAGGTTCCCAAAATTTAAGCTTCCGGGCCTTAATTTTCGGTTCCCAAGCCCTTAATTTTAGGTTCTCAAACCCGTAATTTAAGCCTCCAGGCCTTAAGCTCCCAAACCCTTTATTTATGCCCGGGCCTTATTTCCCAAACCCTTAATTTAAGCCTCCGCACAGTTCCCAAGCCATCAGTTTAAGCCTCCTGGCTTTAATTTTGGGTCCCCAAACCCTTAATTTGAGCCCTCGGACCTTAATTTTCAGTTCCCAAAGCCTAACTTAAGCCTCCGGGCCTTAATTTTAGGTTCCTAAAGCCTGAATTTCAGGTTCCGGCCCTAATTTTAGGTTCCCAAACCGTTAATCCTCTGGGCCGTAAGTTTGAGTGCCCAAACCCCCTTAATTTAAGCCTCTGGGCCTTAATTTTGGGTTCCCAAACCTGAATGGTTCCCTTTAAATTAAGCCTCCAGGCCTTAATTTTACGTTCACAAACCCTTAATTTAAGCCCCCGGGCCTTAAGTTTAGGTTTCCAAACCCTTAATTTAACCTTCCGGGCCTTAAGGAACCCAGGGAGGTTTTCAAGCGTGCCCGGTCGTTTGCACGAGGGTTTAGGGCTATCTTTATACAGGCTGACAGAGGCGGCCTTTGCAAAGCCGCGTGGACCTGAGGTCCAGGACCCTACGGCTCGCCTGTCGGCCTTCGCCTACGGGTCCGCAGGCCCCTGCCGGTGGCCTGCTAACGACCGGCCCCTATCGCTGGAAAGGGGGCCGGTCTTCAGTTTAGGGTTTAGGGTTTAGCGTTCACTCGCGCTTCGGACTCTACCTTTTCTGCCACAGCTCAAGGGCCCTTCGAGAGGTAACAGCAACAGCACAGAAGTTGCACAACATGCAAGCTGTCACTGTTCTTGAAACTACACATGAAAAAGGCACGCACTCAAGCTCTACATGCAAGAATCGAGGTGATATTCACACCCGTCTTACTTATTGATGCGTGCCTGGGGCTCATTCGTTGTTCGGTTAAGTTCGAGAGTAAACTGTACAGCGTCTATACAGGTGTGCCTCTACCAGACTGATTCCACGGTAATTTCGAGCTCACTATTTCGGACGATCACATCTGTACAGCTCTGCTCCCGTCACTCATTTGTCGTCATCATCTTGACTTCACTCTTGGTGAGCTTGCGATCGGGATCTGATAGTTGCACACTTGCTTCCTTCTCCGGTCTTGCGATCCGAAGCCAGCTGCCCGTTGCGGTGCAGCCCCAGACATCTCGCCAGGCGACGCTCTGACGGATGCTTGTGACTACCACTGCTGCTTGCGAAAAAACATTGCCTCGATCTTACGATTCGGGGACTTTCTCTTCTCACACTCCTCTCAAATACAACCAGTCCAAAGGCCAGCTGGAAGTACCCCCTGCACAATGAGGGGAGCAGCTCCGCTACCAGTTAGCGTTCACTCGCGCTTCGGACTCTACCTTTTCTGCCACAGCTCAAGGGCCCTTCGAGAGGTAACAGCAACAGCACAGAAATTGTACAACATGCAAGCTGTCACTGTTCTTGAAACTACACATGAAAAAGGCACGCACTCAAGCTCTACATGCAAGAATCGAGGTGATATTCACAAGGGTTTAGGGTTTCGGGTTGAGGGTTTGAGGTTTAGGGTTTGGGGCTTGGGGTTTGGGGTTTAAGTTGGTTTCGGGTTTGGGGCTTAGGATTTTTGATTCTCTCGGACACAGTCTGGACTTGTGATGGGCTGCTTTGGGAGGTGAGGAGAGCTCCTAGGACGGATACAGTTAAGTGCTGGGCTTTTGCTTCGCATGGTCCAAGGCCTGCAGGGCTACTGGGGCTAGAGGATGGAGGTAAGGTTCAGGGGCTTGCTTCCAAGATCGGGAAAGTTCATAAGTAGGTTCTGCATCAATTCTATTTCCTAGTTTCCGTTTTATATCTTCAAACGGCCGGCTAGACCAACTTGAATCCCTGAACCCTGAACCCTAAACCCACACCCCCCCCCCCTTTTTGGCCGGGTAGAACTACGAAACCCTGTAATAGGTCTCCACGGTTACGGGAAGCGTCTGTGAGCCCTTCCGCGGCGGCCTTCAGCTCATCCAGGCGCATGGTGTTGGAGACGAGCACGTTGGTCATAACCATCCTAGGTTGATCCGGAGTGCATAGGGTTCATAGGCCTGCTACGGTTCATAGGGTTCGTGGGGTTTAGAGGAAATATAAGTCTGAGGTTTTGAAAAGTGGTCTTAGGCAAGATGGTCTTCAACAAAACATATGGAGAAAGCACACTTTCCTAGGGAACTGCCAAGCATCTGGTGTGCGTTCAGGACGTCGAGCCTAGTTTAAGCTTATGGGGGACGTGAAGCCGCCTGCACCCAAACCCGTTGAACCCACATCCAAGATTCAACAGCAGTGATTTACTTCAAGCATCAAGCATCGACACCACAAGACTAAGCAATTCAGCAGGCACCGTTGGGATCGTTTGGGATTGGGGGGGTACTTTACGGGATGCAGCGAGGGGAAAAGTGGAGTGGGAACTCCAAGGATACTTCTTTGGCCTCTCACTCTCATTCTGTGAGTGTGTGAGACCAGACCCGGGCGAGCAGAATAGCCGAGATAGAGTTTAACAGCCGCGCCGTGAGGGTGGGGAGGAACAGCAACAGCAACGGCGACAGCGGCGGGCTTGCAGTATTCTTAATGCGCCCGCGAATATAGTACTTTCCTCACGGGCCAATATTCATCAAGTAAAAGGCTACAAGGCCCGTGTGGAATTCTTAAAAGACTGAGCGGCACGATGTGATCATATTATTCGTGCAGCATCTCCGTATTTTCACACAGTAATGATAATTTCGTGTTTGCACTCTTTCCCAGGGACTTTTCGTTTGCAAACACAATTACTTGACTTCAACAGGAAAATGCCGCGCTCACCGCGGAAACCGGGGAAAAACATGAATTGTACGCTAATGTCTATCATTTGTGAGTTGAACCGCACGAATGGGGGCTCATGAACTCACTCATTTTAATGCGAGAAGAACGATCATAGCAGCCAAAAACAACAAGAAGAACAACAATCAAAACACAAAAACAAAACAGCCATGACGAGGACAAGAAGAAGAACAACAACAACCCAAAAACCCTCACCGCGGAACCCATAAGCCAAACATAAGCAAAACCTAGGACCCCCTGAAACCAGTTTCACAAGAACCCACCTCTGCTCAAACTTCTTTTCCATGTTGCTCATCTGCTCGCTCAATCTGGACAGTCCGTCCTTTAGCGGGCAACTCCCGTAGATTTCGGGTTGCGGGTTCGGGCTAAGGTTAGGAGACGGGCTTAGGACCGTGCGGAGGTATTGGGGTGTCAGTCAGGGTGTAGGGCGAGGGCCTTCAAGAGTCCAGGAACCGGGCCTCTTAAGACCCTGCCTCCATCTTGTTGACCATATGCGCGGTGCTGACCATAACCTGTCTCAAGGGCCAATGTATCGGGGCCCATTGTTCATACGGTGGTTGTGTGTAGCGATTCAAGGGTTTCGTATTGAATTGGGGATTATGACGGCCGCCGCTGCTGCTGCTGCTGCTGCTGCTGCTGCTGCTGCTGCTGCTGCTGCTCCTCCTCCTCCTCCTCCTCCTCCTCCTCCTCCTCCTCCTCCTCCTCCTCCTCCTCCTCCTCCTCCTCCTCCTCCTCCTCCTCGTCGTCCTCCTCCTCGTCCTCCTCCTCCTCCTCCTCCCTCCCTCCTCCCGCCTCCCTCCCTCCCTCCTCCTCCTCCTCCTCCTCCTCTCCTCCTCCTCCTCCTCCTCCTCCTCCTCCTCCTCCTCCTCCTCCTCCTCCCCCCGTTGCTGCTGCCGTTGCTGCTGCCGTTGCTGCTGCCGTTTCTACTGCTGTTGCTGCTGCTGTTGCTGCCGCTGTTTCTGCTTGTGCAGCTGCTGTTGCTGCCGGTGTTGCTGCTGTTGCTGCTGCTGTTGCTGCTGCTGTTGCCGCTGCTGTTGTTGCTGCTGCTGTTGCTGCTGCTGTTGCTGCTTCTGTTGCTGATTTTTTGGTTGATGTTGTGTTCGGTATTGTTTTGTATCTTTGTTCTTGCTCTTGCTCTTGCTCTTGTTCTTGTTCTTGTTCTTGTTCTTGCTCTTGCTCTTGCTCTTGCTCTTGCTCTTGCTCTTGCTCTTGCTCTTGTTTTTGTTGTTGCCTCGTGTTCTTCTTGTTAGTCCTCCTGGGAGCGAGTCAAATTCAAAAACAGAGCCTTGATTCTTGTCGGTTAGGGTGCGCCCGGCTGAGGGCGACAGCCGGCTTCGATAATCTACCCCTAAACCCTAAACACTAATTCAAACCCTAAACCCCGAAACCCTACTAAGTTCCCTGAACCACTAAGTGTCCCGCCTGATCCTTCACGCCGGCGACTTCAGCCGAGAGCCGTGCAGTCGTCCTGCAATATTGCGAAGTATGCAACGGAGCTCCGAAACGTGCGGATCTCTTATTTCTTCCTCTTTGAGCTGCTTCCCACTCTGAACTAGAAGAAAGAGGCACCACAAGATGCCAGGCCCTGGAACTACAGCTCTGTCCGGGAGATGGAGGTGAGCACATTCTTGTTCATGGTCTTGATCTCATCCCGGACATGGTTCATCTTGTGCTCCAAAGCGACCCTTGCCTGGTGCAGCTGGCTCTGTGTCTCCGCTGCTGTTCGGCGAGTCTCTTCGAAAACACGGTCTCCAATGTTAATGATTGAGGCCGTTAGGCTCGCCTGCATGGTGTCCATGCCCACCTTAATCTCCTTGGTGCTTGCAGCCACCTGTCCCTTAATCTCCTTGGTGCTTGCGGCCACCTCCTTGGTGATGCTCGCCTGGACCTCGGACACCTGCTGCGACAACTCCTCCTGCGCCTGTCTCCGTAGCAGGGCGATGGAAGACCAGGGCTTCAGGGTCATTGTGGCAATCTGCTCCCTCACTGCAGCTTTATGTTTAATTGTAAAAGCAAGGCCGTTAGAAGGATCTATAGAGACTTGACAACCATGGAGAATGGAAGGAAAACTGTATATAATGGATCGTCGACTTCCTAAAAAAAAACAACAAAAAGAACGAAAGGTTCACGCAAACTCGCACGCCTTGCAGAGGGGGGGAGGGGCGGGGGGCAAGCCCCAGGTAGCCATCCCACACCACAATGCCATGTGCAAACACGAGGCCCCAATGCTCGTTTGAAGCAGCAATGCTTCTTGAAGGCATGAACCGGTGGCTTTATGAACCGCAGAGGCTTCGGACCCGCGGACACACAATGATGGTATGACGAGCATCGAAAGGACTCGACCATGGTATTTGCATACACAGCAGAAACTAAAACAAAACAATGCCAAAAAGACTAAGAATGGCCTTCTTCACAGTTGCCTTGAGTTCGTTGGTGCTCCTCTGGATGTCCGCCTTTGTTCTCTCCTCGCACAGGAAAGGCAGGGGTGCTCTTCATATCTCTAACTAGAGTACACAGGGTTTACAGGATTTTGGGTTTAGGCTTCGAAGTTTACGCAAAAAGCAGGTCTTGCGGTTGTGGGACGAGATACATACTTTTAGAAAAGTTTCGCAGCAATGCTTTAGATCCGAGGCTCATAGTACATCGCACGCTCGCCACTTGCAAGCTCTGCGAGGAACGCCGCCAGGTCCGCATCACGGTTGCTGGTGGTGGTGACAAGGTCACAAAGTCGCACGCCCAGCTCTGTGCAAACTGAGCTAGAACCACTCTGCGCAGCGTCCAGAAAGCCGTGAGAGGCTTGGTTCACGTCTGCGGCGTGCTCCTCGTCCAGCGGTTCCAACTTGGGTCCAGGGCTGCCTCTCGACATGCTGGCCTGGGCATGTTTGAAGGCGTGATTTTTGCAAGCATGCTTCTTCAGAACGTACCCATCAAAGAGCTCATTCATCTTCTTGTACATGTTGTAGGTCACGATCCTTCCTGTGTACTTCGAGGCACCATAGATCTCATAGGCTCTCAAGAAGGCAACCTCTTTGGGGCAACTGCTGCATTTCTCTGAAGAGCAATCCGACTCGTCCCGCCAGCTGAGAATGTCGGCGAGTGTGTTAATCTGGGTTGAATGTGCTGCGTAGCGCATGCCGTACATGACCTCAGGCATTTGGCAAAGCTGGGACCTCAAACTCCAAGCACAGAGCTATCGCATGACATCGGCAAGCAATTCTGATGATGATTGCAATGGGCATGCAAACCCTTGATGCGCCTCGTCCTGTCCGTGGTGGTACAAGTTCTTGGCGCGCTGTATTGCAGCCTCTGCCTTCTCCTCAGTCTCGAAGAAAGTCCTGCTGGTCTCGAGCACGGTCCTGGGCTTGTTTGTGGTTGGGAAGTTCGGGTTTGGGGGTCCAGGACCACTTGAACCCTGAATTCTTACCCTGGCTCTCCACGTTGTCCATAATGTCATCGCTGTTTTCGTCGATCTCTTCGAGCTTCTTGAAGCCTTTCTGGAACAGCTTTTTGGTGAACTTCACCCCAGTCTTGACCAGGCTCTTCGCTGTGCTGAAGGCCTGGTACTTACAACTCAGCAAGTACGTCGCAATCGGGGCTTCCAGCTGCTTAAGGCTACGTGGTCCCCAACTACAAGCCTAAACCCGAAACCCTAAACCCTAGACCAGTAATCCTGTTGATTGAGGCAAGTTCTAGCAAGGCGTTGGGATCGTCAGCATCACTAGACCCGAGCCCGGCCACTCCGCAGGGCGATTCCTAAAGAGGATCCTCCGAAACCCAATGAAGGGAAACATGACTTTGCCAAGATCCTGCCTAAGTGTAGAGTTCAGCCTAAACCCAAAACCCTAAATCCAAAACCCTAACCCTAAACCCAGCCTTGCCCATCAGGCGTCCGACCGAGCCCAGCGCCTTCATGACTTTGGTGGCGGTCGCCGCAACTTTGGCAACCTGTCTTGGCCATTGCTGTACGCGTTTTTTGCAGCATGAAGTAAGTATCAATGAAACCCTAAACCCAACCCTAAACCCTGTAAACACTACAGCCGAAAGTCATCGAAAACCCGACACCCTCCTGACTCCCAATCCAGCCCTCAAACCTTTTTGTGTCCGTCAATCCCAAAATTTGCTCCAAAACTTGCTCCAAAACCCTCAGAAGCTCGGTTGTTCGGGTCTCAACCCCCTGTAATCCTCTGTTGAAACCTCAAAAATGACAGGGTGGCCCTCTAAACCATCCGAAAAAGAGCCCTCAGCAAGATCCTCGTAATCTTCTCTAACCCAACAAGATGAGATGTAAGGCATTCGCCAGCGGGCAAACCCGAAACCCCAAACCCTTATGCCGCCTTGGACATCGCAGTCAGGGCCTGCACACCCACCAGCATGCCAGCTCCTAGTCCCTGGAGGCCAGGCAGGCACCTTCGGGCTTCGGGCATAGGGCTTTGGGCTAAGGGCTTTGGGTTTAGGGTTCAGAGACCTCCAGATACCTCCAGGGCGCTTCAGCTTTGGAGAAGGGATGATGGGAACAGGGGGGGCTTTAAGGTTTGGACATGGGGCTTGGGGTGAAGCAGGCTAGTTCCGCAAGGGGTTCTTGATCTGTCGTTTTGATTTTCGTAAACAACGAAAAAAAACAAACGTGGGGCTCTGGTCTGCTGAACAGCCCGCATCACCACGCAAGAGATGACGTTCATGACCATCTCGACAATCTTAGCTCCAGCCGATTCGAAACATAGCAAGGGGGGGTCGGGCTTGCCATTGGTGTTGGCATGTGGCCAAAACACCGCCACAAGGGGATCGTGTCCCCCTGCACCCTTCGGCTAGTCGTGCCAGCCAATCCCTTGACAGGCAAAATCCGACCACGACGTATCGACGCCTCCCCCCGCCACGAACCCGCCTTTTTCGTAGAAGCTGTCAACAGGCCCGATTTCGCCGATTCCGAACCGGCTGAAAACGACGACACACTCGCAACAGCATGTGAACAAGCGAGTGAGGGTACTCTGGGTGTGAAGTTACCGCAAAAGCACCTAAGCACTTGGCGGAGGAGATTTGTGTTGCCAAGGTGTGACTTGGCCGTGTCACTTGCAAAGGTGTGGCTCGGTTTTGGTTCTTGGCTCGCTCGCATATACTGGAGATAGCAGCATTTCTGCCTGCACATACTGTAACTAGCAGCATTTCTGCATTTCTGCAACTGCAGAGGTCGCAAAAAACTGTCAATAGCAGCATTTCTGAGTTTGCAGAAGCTGCACATACTGTAAATAGCGGAACTCGCAAATACTGTAACGAGCAGCATTTCTGAGTTTTCAGGGTTGCAAATACTTAAAATAGCAGCTTTTTTGCGCAGAAGTCTCGAATAATTTAACGAGCAGCATTTCTGAGTTTTCTGCAGTTGCAAAGAGTGTAAATAGTAGCATTTCTGAGTTTGCAGAAGCTGCACATAATGTAAACCCCATTAGCAAACACAATGCTCGCACGCCTAAGGTTGGGGGGGTGCGCAGCCCCCCCATGGTTGGCGGGGGGGGAGGGGGGGGGCGCGGCGCAGCCCCGCAGATTTGCAAACACAATGCTCGCACGACGTGTTTGGAACGGATTCATATGCTGCGACGCAAGCTTGCACGGCCGACAAAGACGGGGGGGTTTTTGGGGGAGGGGAGGGGGGGGGGGACCCCCCCCCACCCCATTTGCAAACACAATGCTCGCGCGATGAAGCGGTTTGGATGAGATTCATATGTAGCTATGCTTTGACGCAAACGCCTAAACAAAGCAGGGGGGTTGGGGGGGATTCATATGCTATAACGCTAGAGGGGCTCCCCCCCACCCCATTTGCAAACACCATGCTGACGTGAAGGGTTGGAAAGGATTCATATGCTTTGAAAGAGAAACACAACGCTCGCACGATGGGCACGGCCGAAAGAAGCTGCTTTGAAGCAGACCCCCCCTCAATGCAATGCTCACACGATGGGTCTGGAAGGAAATCATATGCTTTGACGGACGCAGGCAAGGAAGCCAAGCCAAGCCAAGCCAAGCCCGGCCAAGCCAACTCAAGTCAGGCCAAGCCAAGCCGAGCCACACCTTTGAGAGGGGACATTTTCCGAGCCACACCTTTGCACAAAAAACCTGGGTCCCCCAAACCCTACACCACCCTGGACTAAACGGCTGCACATCCGATATCACACCCAACCCACTACCCCCCCCCCCTTACAACCTTTTCCGCTAAATATGAATCACAAGAATCCTGTGGAGACTACCAGTCCACATCCAGGCCAAGAGGCAGGCATGATGAGGTCCCACAGGCTCTTTTTCCGCGACAAGGCCCTGCCACCGAAACGAAACAACGACAGGATCAAGTAAACAGCCGGAATAAACCTCTTTCTCAAAGATCGACCACAATGAAGCACAAGCCGGAATTTAGAATCATGTTCCCCAAGAACTATCCTTGAAACTTCTAGCAAAACTCTTCACTCGTTCACGCCACAGAAATGCCGGCCACAAGTCATCAACACCTAGAGGTCCGAGAAGTGCCTCAAATGGCAACTGGTCCAGGTTGGGCCCCTAAAGACCCCTTGAACATGTTCCAGTAATAAGAAGCGAAAGCACGAAGTTTCCCAAGAGCCTACTTGACAGGCAGCCCCCGAAGCCTGAAACCTGAAGGCCACCCTAAAGCATGAAAAGGCCCCTAAGCCCTGCAAACCCTGAACCCTAAATTTTCCACCGGGCCTGGAATGCGCCTGTGTGAGGGCAGTGCTCACCAGCTGCGAGCGCTGCTGGCTGTTCCACAAGTCAGCTGCAGGGACAAGCAAGCAGTTGATTGGGGTCTTGGGGCTTCGGGCCTGCAGGGTTTGGACTTTTAAAAATTTCTGGACTAGGATCGAGGCTTGATGGGAAAAGCTGTGGCTATTCCAGTTAGAGCATCGACGTGTCTAGAGTGTGAGAGCTGCGTGGCCAGCGCCTGATGGGGAGCTCTGTTGCCACAGGCTGGTGTTCTCTATTTGGAGCTAGTTTTTGCAGCGTGGGGGGGGGTGGGGGAGGGGACGGGGGGTCGCAACTATGCCTGCAGCACACATCTCTTCCTTCATCTTCTGCTGGTCACTGCACGACTTCACATCATAGCCCCGTGTCTGAGCACACCTCTCAACAGGAGACACACGACGCTTGATCTGAGAGTCCCAGTAGAGGTGCTCGTCCAAAAACCATGGGCACATCGTCTCCAAGAAGTCTTTCACATCCTCGTGCGCTTGGAGCTGGTTCGTCAGGCTTCTATAGTCAGGCCGAATTTTCAGCCAGGAGTTGAACTCCGAATCCACGTCCAAGATGTTTTTCCTCAAGATTCCTGTGGTGCTCGAGTCCTTGCACCAGTCTCCTTGCATTCCTTCCATCTCCTAGGTTTTGCCGTTTAACCCTTGGAAAGTGCTCCGAAGTAAGATCCATTCTTTTTAACTCAACAAGAGGAAATAGAAAATATGCCAAGGGCCTACTTTGTCTCTGGGGCCGCGTACAGCCAGCATTTCGTCTCATCGAGGGTGCAAGAAATGCCGCTGCAGTGTGCCATCGACATGCACCTGGCCTGACCGGGCGCACGCACAAAACGGGGCAGGGCACCCAGAGAGCCCAATCAATATCCCTATTCCTCCATTTTACCTTCATCTCCCCCTCCATTCCAACTTTCCTGTTCTTTCTTTTAAGGAGGAAAAAAGTAAACTGGTGATGGTAGTGTGGTGACTTGGGGCATTTTCAGACAGCGACTCGGCACATCCTCCTGGCAAGTCCGCCAGCAGAAAAAGAGCTCCAGCTCTTGCTATGCCCAGTCCATCCGCAGATGAGGCCATGCTTGGCGTCGCTCAGCTACGTCGATAGTAGGTGCGTCCACGTTGTGGAGGCCAAGCCGCAACAAAAAAGTTTGGAAGTAGTCCAGGCCAGGCAAGGCCATGCGTGCTTAGGTGAGGCAGCAAAATCAAAGGGGTTGATGTCATCTACAAGTGATCCCGGTGAGCCAGCAAAATCAAGCGGTTCCAGCAGCATGGTTTTTGCGATGCTTCCATCGCGCAGGCGGAATTCCGCTTCCACGTTATTTGCGAGGTTTTCGATCATGCCGGAATTCCGCCTCCACGCTATTTGCGAGGTTTTCAAGCATGCGGAATTCCGCTTCCATGCTATTTGCGAGGTTTTCGCGCACTCGGAATTCCGCTTCCATGCTATTTGCGAGGTTTTCGTGCACGTGGAATGAAGGTCCGGGCGTCCCCAGCGTACTACGTCTGAGCTACAAAAGTCGACTTTCCAGCCACGGAAGCTCCGGGCGTCCGCGGCGTACTACACTTGTACTACAAAAGTCGACTTTCCAGCCACGGAAACTCCTGGCATCCGCGGCGTACTTCATGTGTACTGCAAAAATCGACTGTCCAGCCACAGAAGCTCCGGGCCTCCGCGGCGTACTACATTTGTACTACAAAAGTCGACATTCCAGGCACAGCGGCAGCGCTCCGACACGCACGATCCCTGCAGAGAGTGCACGCGTAAGATCCAAAATGCGCGAAAACGCACAGCGGGAGCGCTCCGACACGCACGATCCCCGCAGAGGATGCGACAGGCCACTCAAGAATACGCAAAAACGCACAGCGGGAGCGCTCCGACACGCACGATCCCCGCAGAGGGTGCACGCGTAAGATCCAGAATGTGCGAGAACGCACAGCGGGAGCGCTCCGACACGCACGATCCCCGCAGAGGGTGCACAGCGGGAGCGCTCCGACACGCACGATCCCCGCAGAGGGTGCACGCGTAAGATCCAAAATGTGCGAAAACGCACAGCGGGAGCGCTCCGACACAACAGGGTAAAACACAAGGAATTGACAAGAGAGGTTAAACAAGCTAGATAACAGCAAGAAAAAGGGACGAGGAAGCCACAAGCAGAATGTGCAAGAACAAACACGAGGAAGGAATTAAAGGACCGGATAACCCCACATGCAAAGTTTTCCATTCAGAAAGAGTAGAGAAGTGAGAGTGAGAGAGCGATGGAGTGAGTGTGTGGCCATGAGTGAGTGCGTGAGTGTGAGTGCGTGGGTGTGAGTGTGTGTGCGGGAGTGCGAGTGCGAAACCGCGCGAAAGTAAAGAGTGACGCGTCAAGAATAATTGCACAAGTAACATGTGTGTCAGTCGTACATTGGTGAGGCGCGACCCCAGGTCGCAGAACCAATGTAGCTGCCGATCTTTGTTAAATGAAGGGGCGACGCTAGTCGCCGAGTGCGTCTCCTGAGCAAGCGCTTGATCTCCTTCCCAATCCGGGTCGGCAGATACAGCGAGTGTCGGCGGCGCAAGGCCGCTTTCCGCCCATGAGGGGAGATCATCTGTACCTGCACGGCCGACATCTAAGCACTCACACTCCACTCGCGTGGGATGCTGGCACTGATCAAGGTAGCTACCCGTCGAAATAGTTCTCGGAGCCGCTTACCATGCTATTTGCGGTGTTTTCATGCGCCCAGATGTCCGCTACCATGCTATTTGCGGTGTTTTTCAAGCGCCCAGATGTCCGTTACCATGCTATTTGCGGTGTTTTTCAAGCGCCCAGATGTCCGTTACCATGCTATTTGCGGTGTTTTCAAGCGCCCAGATGTCCGTTATTACCATGCTACTTGCGGTGTTTTCGAGCGCCCAGACGTCCGTCACCGTGCTATTTGCGGTGTTTTCAAGCGCCCAGATGTCTGTTACCATGCTATTTGCGGTGTTTTCAAGCGCCCAGATGTCTGTTACCATGCTATTTGCGGTGTTTTCAAGCGCCCAGATGTCCGTTACCATGATATTTGCGGTGTTTTCAAGCGCCCAGATGTCCGTTACCATGATATTTGTTTGCGGTGTTTTCATGCGCCCAGATGTCCGTTACCATGCTATTTGCGGTGTTTTCATGCAAACAGATGTCCGCTACCATGCTATTTGCGGTGTTTTTCAGGCGCCCAGATGTCCGTTACCATGCTATTTGCGGTGTTTTCAAGCGCCCAGATGTCTGTTACCATGCTATTTGCGGTGTTTTCAAGCGCCCAGATGTCCGTTACCATGATATTTGTTTGCGGTGTTTTCATGCGCCCAGATGTCCGTTACCATGCTATTTGCGGTGTTTTCATGCAAACAGATGTCCGCTACCATGCTATTTGCGGTGTTTTTCAGGCGCCCAGATGTCCGTTACCATGCTATGTGCGGTGTCTTCAGACGCCCAGGGCGTCCGCGGCGTACTACGTCTGTACTACAAAAAGTCGACTTTCCAGCCACGGAAGCTCCGCGTGTCCACGGCGTACTACGTTTGTACTAGAAAAGTCGACTTTCCAGCCACGGAAGCTCCGGATGTCCCCGGCGTACTACTTAGAGGGTCGGTGCAGAGCGCGCGCGCGGCAACGGCCCAGGGCCCCTAAGTGCCGCGCCTGCCAGCACAAACAACACCTGTGTCGCGCCTGCCAGCGTTTCGCGAGCCCCCGAGCGCGCGCGCGGCAAAGGTCCAGGGCCCCTAAGTACCGCGCCTGCCAGCCCAAACGACGCCTGTGTCGCGCCTGCCAGCATTTCCCGCGCTCCGAGCGCGCGCGCGGCAACGGTCCAGGGCCCCTACCTGGACAGCCCATTGGTACACAAATTTCTGCTCGACCTCTGTTTTGATAGACTTTTTCGATACACGAGCGTGTTTTTGAAACGCGCGCTTTTTCAAGCGGTTTCGGACTCTTTTTCTCGACGCCGCTTTTGCGCAACTCGAGCGCAATTTTCCGCAACTCGGGCGCAATTTTCCGCAACCGGGCGCAATTTCAATAAATGTACGGATCTCACGGTCTCATGTCTCGTGCGCTTTTCATGCAAACGCGCGGAAAAAGGTCGTTACACAAATTTGTGTATCAATTGGCTCTCCAGGTAAGTACCGCGCCTGCCAGCAAAAACGACGCCTGCGTCGCGCCTGCCAGCGTTTCCCGCGGCCCGAGCACGCGCGCGGCAAAGGTCCAGGGCCCCTAAGTACCGCGCCTGCCAGCCCAGCGTTTCCCGCGCCCCGAGCGCGCGCGCGGCAAGGGTCCAGGGCCCCTAAGTACCGCGCCTGCCAGCAAAAACGACGCCTGTGTCGCGCCTGCCAGCGTTTCCTGCGGCCCGAGCGCGCGCGCGGCAAAGGTCCAGGGCCCCTAAGTAGCCTGCCAGCCCAAACGACGCCTGTGTCGCGCCTGCCAGCGTTTCCCGCGGCCCAAGCGCGCGCGCGGCAAGGGTCCAAGGCCCCTCAGTACCGCGCCTGCCAGCGTTTCCCGCGCCCCGAGCGCGCGCGCGGCAAAGGTCCAGGGCCCCTAAGTACCGCGCCTGCCAGCCCAAACGACGCCTCTGTCGCGCCTGCCAGCGTTTCCCGCGGCCCGAGCGCGCGCGGCAAAGGTCCAGGGCCCCTAAGTACCGCGCCTGCCAGCCCAAACGACGCCTGTGTCGCGCCTGCCAGCGTTTCCCGCGGCCCGACCGCGCGCGCGGCAAGAGTCCAGGGCCCCTAAGTACCGCGCCTGCCAGCCCAAACGACGCATGTGTCGCGCCTGCCAGCGTTTCCCGCGGCCCGAGCGCGCGCGCGGCAAAGGTCCAGGGCCCCTAAGTACCGCGCCTGCCAGCCCAAACGACGCCTGCGTCGCGCCTGCCAGCGTTTCCCGCGGCCCGAGCGCGCGCGCGGCAAGGGTCCAGGGCCCCTAAGTACCGCGCCTGCCAGCAAAAACGACGCCTGTGTCGCGCCTGCCAGCGTTTCCCGCGGCCCGAGCGCGCGCGCGCGGCAAAGGTCCAGGGCCCCTAAGTACCGCACCTGCCAGCCCAAACGACGCCTGTTGCCAGCGTTTCCCGCGGCCCGAGCGCGCGCGCGGCAAGGGTCCAAGGCCCCTCAGTACCGCGCCTGCCAGCAGAAACGACGCCTGTGTCGCGCCTGCCAGCGTTTCCCGCGGCCCGAGCGCGCGCGCGGCAAAGGTCCAGGGCCCCTAAGTACCGCGCCTGCCAGCCAAACGACGCCTGTGTCGCGCCTGCCAGCGTTTCCCGCGGCCCGAGCGCGCGCGCGGCAAAGGTCCAGGGCCCCTAAGTACCGCGCCTGCCAGCCCAAACGACGCCTGTGTCGCGCCTGCCAGCGTTTCCCGCGGCCCGACCGCGCGCGCGGCAAGAGTCCAGGGCCCCTAAGTACCGCGCCTGCCAGCCCAAACGACGCCTGTGTCGCGCCTGCCAGCGTTTCCCGCGGCCCGAGCGCGCGCGCGCGGCAAAGGTCCAGGGCCCCTAAGTACCGCGCCTGCCAGCCCAAACGACGTTTGTGTCGCGCCTGCCAGCGTTTCCCGCGGCCCGAGCGCGCGCGCGGCAAGGGTCCAGGGCCCCTAAGTACCGCGCCTGCCAACAAAAACGACGCCTGTGTCGCGCCTGCCAGCGTTTCCCGCGGCCCGAGCGCGCGCGCGGCAAAGGTCCAGGGCCCCTAAGTACCGCGCCTGCCAGCCCAAACGACGCCTGTGTCGCGCCTGCCAGCATTTCCCGCGGCCCGAGCGCGCGCGCGGCAAGGGTCCAAGGCCCCTCAGTACCGCGCCTGCCAGCAGAAACGACGCCTGTGTCGCGCCTGCCAGCGTTTCCCGCGGCCCGAGCGCGCGCGCGGCAAAGGTCCAGGGCCCCTAAGTACCGCACCTGCCAGCCCAAACGACGCCTGTGTCGCGCCTGCCAGCGTTTCCCGCGGCCCGAGCGCGCGCGCAAGAGTCCAGGGCCCCTAAGTACCGCGCCTGCCAGCCCAAACGACGCCTGTGTCGCGCCTGCCAGCGTTTCCCGCGGCCCGAGCGCGCGCGCGGCAAAGGTCCAGGGCCCCTAAGTACCGCGCCTGCCAGCC